AGAGTGAAACTCTGTCTCAAAAAAAAAAAAAAAAAAAGCACATCACTTTAAATATTTTAGTGATAAAATAATTAAAATATATTGATATGATAAATATTTTAGTGATAAATATTTTAGTGATATGTAAAGTACATCACTTTACATATCACTAAAAATAAGCCATGGTTGCCAGGTGCAGTGACTCATGCTTGTAATCCCAGCACTTTGGAAGGCCAAGGTGGGCAGATCACGAGGTCAGGAGTTCAAGACCAGCCTGGATAACATGGAGAAGCCCCATTTCTACTAAAAATACAAAAATTAACTGGGCATGGTAGTGCTTGCCTGTAGTCCCAGCTACTCAGGAGGCTGAGGCAGAAGAATCACTTGAACTCGAACCCAGGAGGTGGAGGTTGCAGTGAGCTGAGATAGTGCCACTGCAGTCCAGCCTGGGCAACAGAGTGAGACTCTGTTTCCTCTAAGGGCTATTGGGGTAAGAGTAACAAGGTAACTTATGGAATAATCTAAACATGGTCCAGCCAGAAAAAGGGAGAAAAGACTAGATGACTTCCAATTCTTCTTCCCAGCTGGATACCTTGAAATATAAACTTATCTATATAGTTTGTTCAAGTGTGTCTGCCTATTATCACGTGCATATCTTTAAAGGTGAACACATGAAATATAATGTATATTTTAAAATATAAAACAAAAATATTTTTCCTCATATTCATCTTTTATGTCCAAGATCAGTTTGTTTGTTTGTTTGTTTTCTTGAGACAGAGTTTCACTCTTGTTGCCCAGTGCAATGGTATGATCTTGGCTCACTTTAACCTCCGCCTCCCAGGTTCAAGTGATTCTCCTGCCACAGCCTCCCAAGTAGCTGGAATTACAGGCAAGCACCACCATGCCCGGCTAATTTTGTATTTTTAGCAGAGACAGGGTTTCTCCATGTTAGTAAAGCTGGTCTCGAACTCCCAACTGCAGGTGATACACCTGCCTTGGCCTCCCAAAGTGCTGGAATTATAGGCATGAGCCACTAAGCTGGGCCATATGTCCAAGATCAGTTTTTTTTTTTTGAGTCGGAGTTTCGCTCTTGTTACCCAGGCTGGAGTGCAATGGCGCAATCTCGGCTCACCGCAACCTCCGCCTCCTGGGTTCAGGCAATTCTCCTGCCTCAGCCTCCTGAGTAGCTGG